CAGGAGTTGTTTCACTACTTTCAACAATCTTGTCACTTGAAATACCCTAGCAAATATAAAGAAACATGGAAAATGTCTAAAAAAATGCAATTTACAAGTAACATTGAAAATACATGTTGTTAATAAGATTACTTACAACAGTATGAGACAGATTTTGAAAGTCAGCTCCTTTTGCATTAAGATGAGCCAAAACTAGCTTTAGTGTTTGATCTTGTTCATTAACCTTTGTAGACAAAGCCTTGAGTTCAACATCTTTTTTCTCAAGCTCAAGTTTTCCATTATGCAGTGCAACTTTAAGATCTTTAATTTCTTCCTTAGATGATCCTTTGCTGCGAGGAACATTGAAATATCTGTTGTAAGTGACTCCTGTGCCGACACCCTTTAAAAATCCTCCCTTTTCCTTGCCAAAAACTAAGGTCATGGCATCCGTGCCTGGTTCAACATTAACTTGTCCTTCTTTTATCTGCTTTTCTTGTTCCATCTAGCACACAAAATATTAATAATTATTGTCCTAATAAAACTGATTAAAATCTTTATAGTAATAGTAATAAAAAAGTTTATTGAAGTTACTAGTTTATCCGCCATGAGTTTAACATCTTCATCCTTAAATACTCCTTTACTTTCACGTCCTTTACACCACATAATTGACCTTGGGGGCATTTCTTCCTTTGAAATCACTTTCTCTTCAATCTTGATAAAAAAAATTAAATTGTAAACAATATAAAATAAAATTCTGTTAAGTAGCATACTATGAAGGTAATATAATGGATCATATAGCTAAAAACAAAGCTTACCAACTTCCGCCTAAGAGTAGTATACCCCCCTCGTCCCATCCGATGAGCGTACTTTGACATCTTGCGCGCTTTGACTGTCTTTTGTGACACAACCTGTCTAAAAAAAAAAGATTTGTCAAGGCACTTTTTGGTAATTTTATGATAAATGAATGAAGAAGTTTTGGGAAAAAGTTGTAACATTAAACTCCTCAGATTGCGTATATGTCACAAATTTGTTCCAATCATCTTTTTCAGTAATTATTGCCCGATATCGAATAGGGATTTCTCCAAGCTTTTTGGAATTCCCTAGATGTGGCTTGATGTAAGCTGCATACAATTTCCTTCTGAAGTTTCGTAGAAGGATACCAAGCCTATTCATCACAAATCTTTTTCCAGTTTCATCAACTTTAAAATAGCGCTAAAATGAAACAATAATGAATTTGTTAGTATTTAATACATGATTTGTAAATAAAATATGAGATGCAGTTAAAAAAAGTGAAAAAAATATTTACTGTAATCTCTTCCCAAAGTTTGTCCTTCACTTCCGGTTTTACTTTCGTCCAGCAAAGAGAACTTAATCCCACCTTCTCGCGGACAAGATCTCCCAAATAACTAACAAACACTGCATTATTCTTCCCTGTAAACTTACCAAATTCATCAAACTTCACACGTTTTTTTCTACCACCAGAATTGACATACTCGGTCTTCAGCTTTGGCAATCGAGTCAGTCCCCTCTTCCTAGGTGACCTTGTAGGAACTTTGCTTTGCATTTCTTCTTCCGAATCTGAATGGCTATTGTAGTCATTGTCATTATTTTCACCATCTTCTGTGTCCGATTCATAAAAATGTGTTCCATCATCTTGCTCATATTTCATATCATAGTCAGGCATATCCTCATGTTGTTCCTTGTTCACCTCCATGATTCTTCTGTTGACATGAAACATATGAATTAAGTTTGATTATTTGTATGTTTAATAAAAAGTATGACTAACTTATATTACATACAAAATTTCACATACACATTTCATCGAACAGTTGGTGTGCAACAAGCACAGTAATATGAAGAATCAAAAAATTTATGTTTTATGTATAATCCCCTAATCAATACAATCAATAACATTGACACCATATACAGAGAATATACTTACAGTAGAAATGCGTGATGAATGTTGTCGAATGATGAACTGAAATATAATCCAACTGGGATCGATATAACCTAGAGAAAAACCACACAATGGTTGAAAAAATCAAAGTCTTTTAAATAATACATTGTTAGTACGTCCTAATTTGAGGGTGGTTACCAAATTTACCGGATTTTCCTTCATCTGATGGATTGATCTTCATAGTTTTGGCGGTGAGATAGATGAATACTTCCCGCGTTGATTTGGAGCCCAAAACAAAATGGAAAAAATGTTTGCCTCCCATTATATTTGCTTAATTTTGATTGACGAATTCAATTTTTTCCAAATTTTGATCTGATAGTGAACTCATACGATGAGAAGCGTAAATCGTGGTTTGGAAACATGTTCTGGCTTTTGAAACATTATTACGAGTTATTAGATAAAAATAGAAATGTTACAACTTTGGTCCTTGTAAATTAACAATTTTACGTTAGGATACAACTATATCACTATTGGAAATGAAAAATATTTAACATTTAATTATGTATATACAATGGGATAATAGTATAATAAAACGAAAATAAGAATAAGGTCTAGTTAGCGTACTAATTTTTCCGTGTGAACACTTTGTTAAGATTTTTTATTTTTTTTATATTAAGTAAGAAAAAAAAATCCATACACCTACTATAAACCCATTTCGGTCCTAAACCCGTACCCATATTACAAACCCATTTTGGTCCCAAACCATTACCAACACCCCTACATGACCTAATGATGGTCAACCCGTACCAACACCCGACCACCTGCAACCCATACCCATATTATAAACCCATTTTGGTCCCAAACCATTACCAACACCCCTACATGACCTAATGATGGTCAACCATTACCAACACCCGACCACCTGCAACCCATACCCGTATTAGAAACCCAATATGGTCCCAAACCATTACCAACACCCCTACATGACTAAGGATGGTCAACCATTACCAACACCCGAACTTGCAACACATACCCATATTATAAACCCATTTTGGTCCCAAACCATTACCAACACCCCTACATGACCTAATGATGGTCAACCCGTACCAACACCCGACCACCTGCAACCCATACCCATATTATAAACCCATTTTGGTCCCAAACCATTACCAACATCCCTACATGACCTAATGATGGTCAACCATTACCAACACCCGACCACCTGCAACCCATACCCGTATTAGAAACCCAATTTGGTCCCAAACCATTACCAACACCCCTACATGACCTAATGATGGTCAACCATTACCAACACCCGACTACCTGCAACCCATACCCATATTAGAAACCCATTTTGGTCCCAAACCATTACCAACACCCCTACATGACCTAATGATGGTCAACCATTACCAACACCCGACCACCTGCAACCCATACCCATATTATAAACCCATTTTGGTCCCAAACCATTACCAACACCCCTACATGACCTAATGATGGTCAACCATTACCAACACCCGACCACCTGCAACCCATACCCGTATTAGAAACCAAATTTGGTCCCAAACCATTACCAACACCCCTACATGACCTAAGATGGTCAACCATTACCAACACCCGACCACTTGCAACCCATACCCATATTATAAACCCATTTTGGTCCCAAACCATTAACAACACCCATACATGACCTAATGATGGTCAACTCGTACCAACACCCGACCACCTGCAACCCATACCAATATTATAAACCCATTTTGGTCCCAAACCATTACCAACACCCCTACACGACCTAATGATGGCCAACCATTACCAACACCCGACCACCTGCAACCCATACCTGTATTAGAAACCCAATTTGGTCCCAAACCATTACCAACACCCTACATGACCTAATGATGGTCAACCCGTACCAACACCCGACCACCTGCAACCCATACCCATATTATAAACCCATTTTGGTCCCAAACCATTACCAACACCCCTACATGACCTAATGATGGTAAACCATTACCAACACCCAACCACCTGCAACCCATACTCGTATTAGAAACCCAATTTGGTCCCTAAACCATTACCAACACCCCTACATGACCTAATGATGGTCAACCATTACCAACACCCGACCACCTGCAACCCATACCCGTATTAGAAACCCAATTTGGTCCCAAACCATTACCAACACCCCTACATGACCTAATGATGGTCAATCTGTACCAACACCCGACCACCTGCAACCCATACCCATATTATAAACCCAATTTGGTCCCAAACCATTACCAACATCCCTACATGACCTAATGATGGTCAACCATTACCAACACCCGACCACCTGCAACCCATACCCGTATTAGAAACCCAATTTGGTCCCAAACCATTACCAACACCCCTACATGACCTAATGATGGTCAACCATTACCAACACCCGACCACCTGCAACCCATACCCGTATTAGAAACCCAATTTGGTCCCAAACCATTACCAACACCCCTACATGACCTAAGGATGGTCAACCATTACCAACACCCGAGCACTTGCAACCCATACCCATATTATAAACCCATTTTGGTCCCAAACCATTACCAACACCCCTACATGACCTAATGATGGTCAACCCGTACCAACACCCGACCACCTGCAACCCATACCCGTATTAGAAACCCAATTTGGTCCTAAACCATTACCAACACCCCTACATGACCTAATGTTGGTCAACCCGTACCAACACCCGACCACCAGGAAACCATACCCATATTAATTTAAAAAATGATTTTATATATTTATAATTAATTTATATATAAATTTATATTTTGTATGGTAATAATAAAAACAAAGCAAGTATTGATGTTACACTTATTTAATATTACATATATTAATGTAAATAATATATTAATGTATAACACAATATCGATAATCATTATCACAGCCGTCGTTCAAATTGTACCTCCCCTGTAGCCTGTTATTAATTGGAAGTGATGGCCTACGTCGATGTCCCTTCAGCTCTGAATGACGATCCATTTAAAGCCTCCCCTTATATCAAAATCGTCATTCTTACATCTTCATTACCAACATACGATAGCTTCTATTATTTGCTCCTCCTCTGTGAAAACAACTCCGACGATCAATGGAAACAAAAATGAATGCTGATCCATGGGCAAATCCGAGGTTCCAACTATGGAGTGTAAGCAGTGAACCACCGCAAAACACACCATTAGTAGAGTACGGGAAAGCAAACGATAAGAGATTCACCATTAGAGTTGTACATGGCGGGTTTTTTACAGACTATCCAGGTAAGTCGTATCAAACGACAAAAGTTAACTTTATTTCATATGTCAACATCGATTTGCTGAACATGGAGATGCTTGGTCGTTTTTCGAAAAGCTTGGGGTATACAACTATGGGTAACTGGTATCATATGCCAACCGAAGAAAACTGTGGGTTGTCAATGATTCCAATTCTGAATGATGATTGTTTGGGAACTTTCAAGATGATCGTTAGGTCACACCAATTCCGAGAGATTGAACATCTATATGTTGAACATAGGCCTGTATTTGTTCCAACCAATTTCCCCTACTTTTTGATGAACTCACCATCCAAAAGGGTTGAGAAGCTTATTCATCTGTTTGTAACAGAACACCCAATGGCAACAGTTGATGATGGAATAACATACATCAGGCATATGCTAAACATGACCATTCCAAGAGAAAAAAATGGAAGATGCAATGGACATGGCAAAGGAGAATGTGATAACATGGACAAATATAGTGTAGGGGACCTATGTTATACTCCATTTTGTGTTTAATACAGAGTACATATGAAACTCTTTTTTGTAAGCAATATGATGTTGTTTTGATTATAAATGTCTTAGGGGCAAAATGGGAATTCATTATAATTATAATTTTATGTTGTTATTTATATTGTGTTTCATACTTATAACTGAGTCAGTATTGTCCCTGTTTTGCTGCATTGTTTTGTAAACAAAGCAATGTACTTTTCAACTTATTTCCACTTTAGAGGTAAGTTATTGGTTAGATTATTTAGTTTGTCCCATGTTTGTTATCAACATATGGAGATTATGCTAAAGCAGGGGTATATTCGTCAATTAATTGTTTTTATCATAAAAGAAAGAAATTGTTATAATTTCCCATTAAAACTGTGTTTGAGATATAAGGGTATAATGGTCATTCAGTATATATAATGAAAAGAAAAAGGAAACATCATCTAAGGGTATGCATCATCATAGTATTGTCCCTGTTTTGCTGCATTGTTTTGTAAACAAAGCAATGTACTTTTCAACTTATTTCCACTTTAGAGGTAAGTTATTGGTTAGATTATTTAGTTTGTCCCATGTTTGTTATCAACATATGGAGATTATGCTAACGCAGGGGTATATCCGTCAATTAATTGTTTTTATCATAAAAGAAAGAAAATGTTATAATTTCCCATTAAAACTGTGTTTGAGATATAAGGGTATAATGGTCATTCAGTATATATAATGAAAAGAAAAAGGAAACATCATCTAAGGGTATGCATCATCATAGTATTGATAGAAAAAAATAAGTTTATCTTGGATACATATATGATGTGCATAACTACAATTAAACAATAAGAGTGTGAGAAGAATCAGGGGTATTTTTGTCATTTGTTTTTATTTCCAATTGTGAAGGGTAATTAAAAACAATGTGCAACCACAATTAAGTATATTGTCTCAAATGAGGAAAGTATGATTGATGGTAAATGTGGTTATCTTAGATCAGTTCTATAGGAAGCAGGGGTATTTTCGGCAAATGTTACTCTTTTAGTTTATTTTTATGTTTGTTTCGTAAACTAATCACTTACAAACAGTCAGACACCCCAGTTGGTAAGTGTAAATGTAGTTAAAGGTATATTTTGGAATGCCATGGGTTCGAACCCCATTAGGAACAATTTTTTTCTCTTTTTTTTTGTTTTTTCTCGATATATCCTTGATCATCCACACCTATTGCGTAGATATGAATTTTTAGACTATATGCATTCCCATCGAATCACTCTCTTCTTAATACAAACGCATTGCAACTACGTTTATACTTCAACCACGAATTGATACTTCAACATGAAATTCATTCAGGTACACATACTACCCTAATTTATACAGGGACATAAAAACAATTAGCTTCAGAATATTAATCTTTGTTATTTCGTTTGGTCATGTTTCATTATATATTCTTCAATTAACAAGTATTTGGTTTCCAGTTATTGGATTTAATTGTAATGTGATCTTTTTCGTTTATGCACACCAACTGTTTGTTAAAATGCTTCAATGAACAGGAAACATATATTGCTTGTTGATGCTGTTATAAACTGAATATGGATAAGTCTTGGATGGGAGCCTACAGAACATCAGAAACGAATGTAAAGGGTGTTGCATAATTTTTGAAATATGCAGTACATAATTACAAGATTTCTAAAAATATGGATGTTGTAGATACCAAAAAAAAGATAAGAATTCCATGTCCATGTGTCAAATGTGTAAACCACATATCTCATTCTGTGGATATGGTAGATGATCACCTATTCAGGAATGGAATTGATCAAACATACACGAATTGGAATAAGCATGGAGAAACAGAGCAACCACCCAGAAAGTATATATATGAACATAATTTTGACATGGACACGTCATACGTTGTTGATTCGACGACCATGAACACAGAAATGCCAGCAGATGCTGCAGAAACAGTAGAGATGGTGGAAGCTGTAAAAGAAAATTTTATTGGGAACCCTGAGAAGTTTAGAGAACTGATTGAAGATGCCGAGAAGCCCCTATATAAAGGGTGTCCTAATTTCACAAAATTATCTGCAGTCATACAATTACTCAACTTAAAGAGTAAGTATGGAGTATCAGATAAGTGCTAGACAGAATTATTGGTTTTGATCAAAAATATGTTACCAGAAGGTAACAAAATGTACAGTAGTACATACGAGGCCAAAAAAGCGTTCAAGGCAATGGGTTCAGGATATACTAAGATACATGCATGTGCCAACAACTGTATACTTTACAGAAACGAATACACAGACATGGAAGCATGTCCTACTTGTGGTAAATCAAGATGGAAGGTCGATGATCAAAAAAATAAAATTTACAAAAATATTCCTGCAAAAGTTTTGTGGTACTTTCCAATTATTCCGCGCTTGAAAAGAATTTTTCAGTCTAAGACTACTGCAAAAGATTTAACATGGCACGCAACAGACAGAAAGGTGGATATTGGTGTTTTAAGTCACCCAGCTGATTCACCAGCATGGGCTGCCATTGATGACAAATATCCTGACTTTGCTAGCGAGCCAAGAAATTTGCGGCTAGGCATTTCGGCTGACGGGGTCGATGTGAATAGAGGAAATAGGAGTCATAGTGTGTGGCCTATTTTAACTGTCATTTACAACCTTCCACCATGGTTGTGTATGAAGAGAAAGTTCATCATGCTTTCTTTATTGATTTCGGGAACACCAGGAAACGATATTGATGTGTTCCTAGCAGCTTTTATTGATGATCTGCAATTATTATTTGATATTGGAGTTGACACATACGATGCATATGCACAAGAGCAGTTTAAACTATGTGCAGTAGTATTATGGACTATTAATGATTATCCTGCTCTAGGTATATTAAGTGGTTGTCCATACAGCGGATTTCAAGGTTGTGTTGTGTGTGGCGAAGAAACACTGCATTAGACTCCCTGGATCGAAAAAGCAGAGTTATGCTGGTCATAGACGATTTCTACCGCATGATCACCCGTTCAGAAGACAAAAAAGGCATTCAATGGACAACAAGAGTTCTCACCCTCTCCAGAACCTATGAATGGGGAGGAAGTATATAACAGGGTCAAATTTATAATTAATAAATGGGGAAAGGTGTCTAAGGGCAAGGAGGCAGAAATCCAACAATCTACAAGTGGAAGAGGTGGGAAGATAAATAAAAAAAAGAGAAAATCACAGAAAGTGGGTACTTCAGATGTGGGCCAGCAAAATAATACATACTGGAAGAAATTCAATATATGGTATAGACAGCTAAGGTATTGGCGCGACAATTTGATTCCACATTGTATAGATTTTATGCATGTCGACAATTTGGTATTCCCCCTGAAAATCATAACACATGTGGAATTCAAATAGGTGTAGATAGTAGTTCTATTACGGACGGTAGTCCTCTATCAGCTGCTAAATCGGTAGAAGTTTCCGCCGAACTATTCAGAAAAACACATTTCTTTGTATTGCACAATACATCTGAAGTACTCCCGTATATCAAGTAAGTTTTTTTACATGTATGTTTTTTTTGTTATAATATTAACATTAACGTATTGACAGACGACACTTGGATTTTTTGCAACATCAACACCCTACTAAACGAAAGGCACAGCTAGAACAAGAGCACAGTAATACATTTGGTCATTGGTTACGAAAGGAGATATATTCATTTCATATATGTTGTGTTTTTTGTTATGTATTTCTTTATATCTTAAATTCATTATCTAATTACAATTCAGGTAGAGAGAGAGTTAGGGGGCTGTAGAGAAAGTATAACAGAGACACTGAGATGGATTTCACATTGACCCAATAAGAACATTATTAAATACGATATATATGCTATCAATGGATATACTTTTCGTACAAAAGCTCGTGAAGGTAAAGTTTACAAAAACAGTGGGGTTAGTGTCGTTGCAACTGACACACACATCAGTAAAGAAGTTGTAACATATGCCAAAAACACTTATCATGGTGTTTTACAAGAGATATGGGTACTAGATTATCATTTTAAGCGAATTCCAATTTTCATGTGTGACTGGGTTGACAATAGAAATGGGGTTAAAAGGGATAAATTGGGGTATACACTAGTTGAACTAAAAAGATTAGGCCATAAAGGTGATCCCTTCATATTGGCCTCACAAGCACAACAAGTATTTTATGTCACAGACCCACTCGATCAAAAAATGTCTATCGTGTTCAATACACCTCCCAAAAATTACAGAGATACATATGAAGATGTAGATGAAGAATTTAGTACTGTAGTTCCTCAGAATGATAATATATTGCCACGTGTAGACACACTTGAGTTGCAGAAGGAAAATGATTATTTTCGTACTGATTGTCATGGTATTGTTATACGTACGGTATGTTTTCTTAATGTCATGAATTACATTTGTAGCGATAATATTTTTCCTTCTTTTAACATTTAATGATCTTTATTTTTTATTGTAGAAGGGAAAGGCCAAACCTTCATCCTAGCGTTACGTAGAGAATAAGAAAATGACAAAAAAATGACGATGTACTTTCCTTAATATTTTTTTACCATATTATACCATCAAACTATTCTGGTGTAATATTGTTATAACTCAAAGTTATTTTTTTTTTCAGTTTTTTACTGTAATGGTGGATGATATGTTATAACATAAACTCAATGTTATAGTAATGTACTTTCGTTATGCAATGTTAGACAAAGTTGTATTCTTTTCATTTATTTATCATACTATTCTGTTAAAATAAGTTGTATTCTTTTCATTTTTAATGGTGTCTGATCTGGTGCAATTAAAAGAATAGATGACAAAAAGGGCAATTTGATCCTTTCTTATAACTCTTATTCAACACAACTATACTGTTATTTGTTTTTGTTTTTATTATTTTTAGTTTTTTTTGTTTTCTTCTGAAATTGTTTCTAACTTTACAAAACTGCAATTCATTTTTTTTCATTATTTAATACAACCATTTAATTGCAAAATAAGCAATGTACTTTTGTAAAATGCCATGATTTAACTTTTTGTTCATTTTTAA